ATATATATATATAAAATATTCTTGACACTCTTTTGTGAACAATTCTAAAATGTATTTTTTCCAATAGTAGAGAACATCTTTTTATACACTATGACCAGCACTTAATAAACGTCGCATAATTTAAGATCATTATAGCCGGACGAGAATGTCAGAGCAGGAAACAGACAATCCTTTAAGCAAACCCGCAAATGAAGAGGGAAATAAAAAATCCTTGATAATATGATAATACTAAAGACGGAAAATTCCAATTTTGCTTAAATAACCTAAGCGTTTATTTTTTATCCTAAGATGTCGCTTTGGGGACCCAATTAATTTGAATTCACCATGCATAAGGCCTATTAAAATAGAAAGTGTTTCTATAATGATTTTTTTCATTCTTAGTGCTCGATACTTTCGTTAAGAATGAAGGAATCTTATACATCCCATTACAACCCATGATAGTAAAAATCTGACTGCTACTCCAACCTCGAACAATAGATAATTAGATATATCCCTCTCATACCCATAAAAAAAAGTCTATTTTGTCCTTTTCATCAACCTGACTAGATGGTGAAGGAAGTTAGGCGTTGTCAGAGAGTTTTTCTCAAGTCTAATTTTAGGAGCATTAATTATTATTTAAGCATTTATTGGATTTCATATTCTTGAAGTCAGCAGCTCTCAGTCTTTAATGAAAATTATTGTATATTTTATGGTAACTTTTTGGAAGTACGTAGCGGTCTAAACAATAATTATGGAGATAATTTTGTAATTGGTGTTGTAAAGACCGATTGGTCCGCGTACACAGGGGCGGATTTAGAGTATAAAATATGGATTCCCAGGAACCTAGTTATTTTTGTGTAAATCCTGTATTTTTGTTAAAAAAATTATTAAATATCTATAAATATTTATTTGTGAACCCAGTTATTATTGTATATTATTTTAAGATTGCGACAAGAACCCATAAACTTAAAATCCTGAATCCGCCTCTGCACCTGACAATACCAGCAATAATTTAACAAAATGAATTCTCGTAGTTCTTACAAAATCAAAGTAGAGAGTATTACACCGCAAAATGAAATGACTACAGAAAAAGATGGCAATTGAATTTTTTTAAATTTTCCATCTAGTCAGAGCTAGAAGCCTCTTCCATTGCGATTGGCAGAAGTAAAAATGGTGAGTATAGCCATGGTAGTAAAACCAACAAGGAGTATTCCACTGGCAATAATTCCTCTGTCCAGAAATTTTTGGCTCTTGTCCTGAAATTCCTCAACTCCATCAAAGCTGTCAACTAATTGGTCTATCAATATTTTCAGTTCAATACTGACGCCAAATCCTACGCCAACTCCACTTGCCAACAAGAACGCTATCACCTGCAAATTTCGTTCAAAAATACATGTAATTAAAATATAGAGAATGAATGCAATGGAAATATGTGTTTGATCTCTGATTTTTATGCAATTTTTAAAAACAGATTGCAACTTCTGCTTTTGCCCTTTTGGCTTAAACCAACTCCACTATGATGTTTACACGTTTTACAAAATAAGAGAGACTATTTAATGAAAGATTGGTCCAACATTTGCTATCTTTTTCTCGGATTATTGGATCTTATTAGTTCTAAGCAATTAAAGTGACCACTAATAGTATATTGTACTCCCTCCTGTTCACACCAATTTACTTTTTTATTTTGGTCCAAAATAAGTGTTCATTTATATAATCAAGAAGGAATTCAATTTGTTTTTACAAAATTACCTTTCTGTACATATCCCTAAAAAGTTTTCTTACTTCTCACATTAAATATTTAATTAAGGGTAGTTTAGTCATACTAGGTATTTTTGTATATAATTTAGTATTTTCTTAATGGGCGTGCCAAAAGCAAATTGGTCACTTATTGTATACCAGAGGGAATATTTTATAAGTAAAACAGAGATTTTTTACCCGGCAGTCAAACTTAATGTTTCTTATATCTATAGCTTTACAACCAACTATATTATTCGAAAGCTGATCGGATTTATTCTCTAAGGGGTTGTTTGGTACGCGGGATAATGTGGGATAAAGTATGGTATTAAATTTATATGATATTTGATTGGCGATATAAATTTATCCCGGAATAAATTTATAGCGTCAACCAAACATATTATAAACTTTGTCCCAAATATTATCCCACTGTATCTCGCGTACCAAACGACCCTTGAGTCTGTAATTTCTGTAAAATGAAAGCATAGTAGAAATAGGAAAAAAATATACTCGCACCCGGAGTATACACCAAGCCAATAATTAAATGACACTTTCCATCTTATTCAATTATATAACTAGTATTTAATCATTGTTAACTCCATCTATTTTTTTATATAATTTTAAATAATAACAATAATAATAATATAATGATCTTAAATATTTTCTAGCTATTTCCGTTGTTTCACGAAAAATATATCGAAAGGAAGACGCTATCGTGAGCGAGCAAATCAGGGCTAACGCATTTCCCATTAAGCACCCAAATTCTCCTTCTTTCTTCTTAAATAATTTTTTGTTGCAAGTACACCCTCATTGTATTAATTAAATAATTTTTTTATATATTCTGATAAGTACAATACGACAATATAAGTACAATACTATCTTATTGGTTTTTCCAGGATCTTATAAAGTCAAAAATATACTAGCTTCCACCTTTCCACACTAACTTATAGTAGATCATTCAACTCTTCTTTAACATAAAAATTAGCTATGAAATTACAAAACTAATCACTGTTAAAGGCATTCAACAAGGCAGCCTACAAGATAACTGTTCTACTTAGCTCTAACACGTAAAAATGAAGTTAACTATAAGAAAACTTAGCTTTCGAAGGAAGCATCTTATAAGGTTATTCAAGACGTCTGAGAGCTTCTTTATAAATACCATCATATTATACCATCGTCCGTCCAGATAAGTTTAATAAGCTTAACCAAAGACTTAAAAGTCTAAAATCGAAAAAACACAAAGAGTAATGATAACATTCAGTTATATTAGGACTGTTTCTTACCTTTTCTTAATTTTTTTATTAAAAAAAATCTCTTGTAGTTGTTAGTTTATTTCTATGGTTAACTTAATTAGATTTGGTGTATACATTGGGTGTAGGTAAGTTTTTCCCGTAGAAATAGGCGTCTTTGTGTATAAAGTTAATGTGAAAGTCTTTAAATCGTTTTATACACTTTGGTGTTTACATAAGTACTACACTAGTAAAATTTGTAATTAATATTTGGGCAAGTTACATTTGGCCGGTCGGTCAAAAATAACTATATTTGCTGGTCAAATATACAAAAAAGGCATATTATATATTAATATACAAAAATATATATTTTTCTGACAATTATTTTGGGAGCGACTATATTGTGTATTTTTTTATATCTTACAAGTGAAAGGGAACCTTGGAGCAACAGTAAAGTTATCTTCGTGTGATCTATAGGCTAGGAGTTCGAGCCGTAGAAGCACATCACACCTCTTGGGGTGTGACCCTTCCACAGACACGGCGTGAATACTGAATACTTTGTACACGGGCTACCCTTATATCTTACAAGTGCATTAAATAGGAGAGAGCCGTTTGTATACTACGATAGTAAACAGAAGCATATTATTATATAAATATATAGCTGCTTATGAGTTCATAGAAGAAAACCTTATCTCCGTAAAAATCAAACATCGGCAGAAAGTCGCCCTTAATCAACCTCTTCTCTTTGACGGCATAATACAGTGCGAAAGGCAGCTGAATCAATGAATACAGAACTCCTCCTGCAGCGGCTGCTAAGACATACCTGTAATTATGAGATTGAATCATAAATATTGGAGTAACAATTTTATAAATTTACCTCAATAACAAAGAAGAAAATAAGATTCATTTTTTGTACTCATTGCCAGGCACTATTGTAACCTAGTCTACTTGTTTTATTCAAAATATGGCAGATATTAGTTAACCAGAAAAAACAAACGAACAAAGACAGGTAATTGTTACCAAAAGGTGTAATTGAGTCGTTGATATGCAAGATTTTAACTGGACATAATTCCTGAAATTATATTTATCGTACAAAAACCACACACCATCTAATAAAATACTTTTAACATTTTTCCTTTGCCACCACTTGAATCTGGAAAGAAAGAAATTCACCTGAAGCCTTTGATGTCACTGAATTTGGTTTTGTCACCATCTAATTTGAAGTTGTTTGTAACAATAAGTGCAAGGGCAGCTGCGCACGACGCGAGAGTAAGTATCCTCAGTATAGCAATTGAGTTGATAATTATATTAGAAGTAGCCATTCTATTCTTAGTTTAATTTCTTCTTTCCTTGACACTCTTGAGAACTGGAATATTTTCAATGGTACAAATACATCCTTTTATACACTAATAACCAGCACTTAAACATCGCTGATTTGGTCCAAATGGCCACACCAAAAAGAAATTCTCTGAATCATGTCATTTTAGCTGGACGTGAATGTCACAGCAGGAAACAAACAATCCTTTCCCAATTTAATTTACTTATTTGATTAATAGCGTTGAACAAGCAACGAATCCAAATATATACATAATGCTAAGTGTTAGTCAAGAAAGAAAACAAGATAATGAGACACCTTGTCGTTTATAAACAGGTATTTCTTTTGTATTTGCTATACATACTTTCGGCTGTATTAAAGTTCAAGCATTTAGACGCCAATTGACTTGGTAATCTTAACATTTTTGGACAGAGATGTAGAGGTTCCATTATCTAATGCCAAATGATTCCTTTCTGTCCTGAATAGTAGACCGATTCTAAGGTAAATATTACAAAAGGCCATGGTTTGAATTCTTATGTTACATGAAAATCGAACTGCAATACCAAAAGAGTATTATATGTCCTTGTGGAGCAGTCAAAAATGCCTTCCTGTAAGAACATTTAATGCTTAATCATGGTCAAGTAAAACATATTTCCACCTCAATATGTCCCTTGACTACATATATTAATGTGGTTCTAGTGTGAACACGAGTGTGAATAACTTTTTCCTGTATTTGATTGCGACAACGAAGAAATTCTTTAAACTCAGAATATACCGCAAAGAAAATCAGGCGTATCAAAACAGCTGATATGAAAATGTAAAGCTCTCATATCTCAAGCTACGTAGGCCAGAACAATTAAATAACAAAATTTTGTAACATCAACCCTCACAAAACCCTGGCAATACACAACAGAATCTTACAGCAACCTGTTTTGGTATCCTTTTTCATATTTTTACCACTAACAACAGCATTTTCTTTAGTCAGTAATCTAGATATTTACGAAAATACAAGTTCAAGGAGGCTTTATGCCTCTCTCAAACTAGTGAAGAGACTTATCTTCCACCCTAAACGTATGTACAATGAAGGACAAGCCCTTCTGAGCACTGCAGGGAACATTCTCTCCACTAGCTAATATGCACAAGTAGAGAACCACCTTCAAGCCAAATAGCCTATTAATATCCCAGTGTGCCATGTGCCGCAAGCTTTAGAGTTCAACCTCTAAGTAAGCTTTTTTACTGAACATCAGATGTTTTGTATGTGCGGGTGATTCGGATCTGAAGCAAATGACAAACGACGATGCTTAAGAAGCTTATCTACACATAGTTATGCAAGAAAAATGTTACAGGATCATCCCAAAGATACAATTGATTTCGTTCTTACACAGTACATGTTCAAAGACCTATATCCTATACCGCACCAGTAACCACCACAAATATCTCTTCAGCTATTCAAGGCAGATAACGTAAACTTAAAGGGCTACCTGTGTAAGAAGTTAAAAAGAAAACAGACAAACAAATGATAGATCATGGGGTTTGAACAGGGCAGTGGAACCTGTATGCTTGGGGGTCCATGAATCCCTTTGTCAAAATTCTTCTTTTGCTTTGAAATACCCCAAGCCAGAAAGAGAAAGGCTATGAAACATGATATCTATTGAAGATGATAAAATTAACTTTAAAAGATTAATTACTATTCATACTAGTTCACCCCATGTGAATTTAGCACACCTGAAAAGGTGAAAGAGATGTTTTTTCTTTTTCTACCTTAAACAGACTAATATTAAAACTAAAAAATAAAAAAACGAATAAACCTTAAAGTTTACTTCAACTAAAATACAGAGAGCGATAAAGTTCATTAACTCCTCATTGAATTTATACAATGTTAAGTTTTGTAAGCTTGCTGATTTATTGGTAGTATATATACCATCTTCTACTGAACTTAATAATTTTAAAAATGCTTCCACCAATCAATTAAACACAGCTCAATCTCAAACTTGATGGAGGCTATATAAATCTCTCAGTACTTTCTGCTCTATTCAGCCGATCTTATTTCAATACTGTTTAAGGTAAATTAGGGCCTAAAAAATTAGAGGTAAATCTCACATTTATCTTTAAACAAACACTTATATCTCTAACTGGAATAATAAAAATAGATCAATCTTACGACTTCTTCCCCTATTTAAAAAGAGCTGGCTCCATCCATGTATTTGAAGATTCAAGCATGATAGCACATTACCTGTGCGAATGCATAAATTGCTCGGACGATTCTAGCATAATCAGTTCCAAGCATCTGAATGACAACATCTGCTAGAAGTGTTCCCCACAGACTGCATAAGATGCCACATACAATGTGGTCACAGACTGTGTAAGAACAATACAAGGAGAAGTATATAAAACCAGAAAACCTGAGAACTTAATTCACTGCTTCACCTTCACTAACAGAGACAACAATTGGGCAACCAAGTCATGGAAAGAAATTAAATAAAAGAGTGAACCACATTAAAAAGGAGTTTCCTAACAGTGCAACCTAGAGAGATAGTTCGAAAAAGAAACATCTTTTCCAAGTGAAATGGTTAGGCAAATGCTTCAGGAAAACATTCGAATTCCTTATCAACAAGGTAAACCAGATTATCTGGTCCAGATAGCAAAAAATATGCAGAATTATCTTATAAGCTACAGCCTTCAAGAGCGAACAGTCTTAAGGTCCATAATTCATCATTCAATCATTTACTTTATTTTATCGCCATTCAATCATACTGTTGAACTAACAAGTATACTCTATTGCCTTTGAATACAACTTCGGTTGAAGCATTTGCCACTTGCATCAACCAGTTCGATCCAAACAACTACGAAATCCAATATGACGGCAAGACAGAAAGCAGGAAAACTTGATAACCGCAAAATCCAACATAACCCTACGATTTCTCTCCACAACCCCGTTAAGTACTTGGTTATAGAAAGCTTCAATTTCAATTTTGCAATCTTGCCAAAGAATATAAGCATTCATTTATCCTTAATCCTGATACTGAACGAGCTCTTGTTAGTCCAAGTAATTGCATAAAATGGCAAAGTCACAAAATACAACTCAATTTCGGACCAGATGAGCAAGCTACATGAAGCCTCAATATTCATTGCACTCCATCTGGATCACTCCATTTGGATTCCTTTCATTCCAACGCGGAATATTTTGTCTATCAAGACAAATTAGGGGTTTTCTGTGGTGTCAAATTTAGCTCAGATAAGTGAAACAGCCCAACCCCTACATGTTTGGGCCAGTTGTGTTGGACATAAATTCATTGATAGGTCAATTCGGACACAACCCAAACTACATCTAAAAGTATGGAGTCAATTTTGACTATTAAGGTAGCGTACTTTACCCATTAAAACTCTATAAAACTTTGGATGGATTGATTCAAACCCAATTCATTGACTCAACCCATTTTAACCCGTCCGAACTTGATTCAACCCACTTATTTGACACCCCTAAGGTTTTCTAACATTAGAGGTTCTCCAACTTATTAGTAGGAATAAGTTGTTGAACCTTTTCTCTAATATCTTTGTGAGAAAGCACGGGAGAAAATATATTATTGATGTATATTCATATGTTACAATGAGCCCTATATATATACACACATAACATGTCCTACTCCTAATATATATTGGATTAGGGTTATTTATTTACTCCTATTTACATGACTATTCTAACACTCCCCCTCAAGCTGGTGCATATAAATCATATGTACCGAGCTTGTTACATATGTAGTTAATACGAGGACCAGTGAGGGACTTGGTGAAAATATCTGCAAGCTGATCATTCGACTTCACAAACTTTGTAGCAATATCTCCCGAGAGTATCTTTTCTCTAACAAAGTGACAGTCAATCTCAATGTGTTTAGTTCTCTCATGGAACACTGGATTTGACGCAATATGAAGAGCAGCTTGATTATCACACACAAGTCCCATCTGACTAATCTCACCAAATTTCAACTCCTTGAGCAACTGTTTGATCCAAATTAGTTCACATGTCGCCATAGCCATCGCTCGATATTCTGCTTCTGCACTAGACCGAGCAACCACATTCTGTTTCTTGCTCTTCCAGGACACCAAATTTCCTCCTACCAAGACACAATATCCAGACGTAGAACGTCTATCAGAAGGTGATCCTGCCCAATCAGCATCTGAGTATCCAACGATCTGCTCATGGCCTCGACCCTCAAACAATAAACCTTTGCCTGGAGCTGATTTTATATACCGAAGAATGCGAACAACTGCATCCCAATGACTATCACACGGAGAATCCATAAACTGACTCACAACACTCACAGAAAAGGAAATGTCAGGTCTTGTCACTGTAAGGTAATTTAATTTACCAACCAACCGTCTATATCTTGCAGCATCGCTAAGAGGCTCCCCCTGTCCTGGCATAAGTTTAGAATTCGGATCCATCGGAGTGTCAACCGGTCTACAACCTGTCATTCCTGTCTTTTCAAGAATATCTAAGGCATACTTTCGTTGTGAGATCACAACACCTGAGCTAGACTGAGCGACCTCAATACCCAGAAAATACTTTAGTTTGCCCAGATCCTTAGTCTGAAAGTGTTGCAAGAGATGTTGCTTCAATTTAGTAATACCATCCTGGTCATTGCCGGTAATAACAATGTCGTCAACATAGACCACCAGATAAATACAGAGACTCGAGGCAGAATGCCGATAGAATACAGAATGATCAGCTTCACTCTGAATCATGCCAAATTCTCGAATAACTGTGCTGAACTTACCAAACCATGCTCGAGGAGACTGCTTTAGACCATAAAGTGACCGACGCAAGCGACATACAAAGCCACGAGACTCCCCCTGAGCAACAAACCCAGGTGGTTGCTCCATATAAACTTCATCCTCAAGGTCACCGTGTAAAAAAGCATTCTTAATGTCCAGCTGATAGAGGGGCCAATGGCGAACAGCAGCCATGGATAGAAAAAGGCGGACTGATGCTATCTTAGCCACAGGAGAGAAGGTATCACTGTAATCGAGCCCAAATATCTGAGTATATCCTTTGGCAACAAGACGAGCTTTAAGACGATCAACCTTACCATCCGGACCCACCTTGACTGCATACACCCAACGACAACCAACAGTAGATTTACCTGAAGGAAGAGGGACGAGCTCCCAAGTACCACTCGTATGTAAAGCAGACATCTCGTCAATCATAGCTTGTCGCCATCCTGGATGAGACAATGCTTCACCTGTAGACTTAGGGATGGAAACAGAGGACAAAGAAGATAGAAAAGCATAATAGGGTGATGACAAACGATGATAACTCAAACCGACATAATGGGGATTAGGATTAAGGGTGGCCCGTATACCTTTCCGAAGTGCAATCGGTTGATTAAGAGGAGACAAGTCCGCAGTATTAGCAGGNNATTACATCATAGAAACGAGATATGTCATTAGTGTATAGATTACGAGCCTTTTCCCAAACTAAATAACATGTCTGGAATGGACGGAACAAGGGCATCAACTTGGAATCAATAGATCGCCACAGGATACTACATAACTGAGCATCGACCTTCTCCCACTGTGTTTTGGCCTTTTCATCACCTTCGCTAGCCTTTTTTGTTAAATGATCTTGAACTCCTTGACCTTTACACCACAACTCGACAGATGAAGCCCAATCTAAGTAGTTTGAACCTCCCATTAAAGGTTCTGAGGTAATCATAACACCGGAACTGCCAGAACCCGGGTTTCTAGACCCGAAAGCATCGACTCCCAAAGACATGGTTGGATTATCACCAAATAACAAAAAGAATCAACTGAAAATTCTCTGAAACAGATGAAGAAAACACTGTGTTTGCCGGAAAAGTACTGTAGCTGCCGGAAAAATCAGTGTAGTTGCCGGAAAAACTCAAAGTGGTCGGAATCAAACGAAAAAGGTATGGACAGACTCGGAATTACTAGGCGATCCGACTGTCCAACTGGAAGATTTTCAAAAAATGGCCGAAACAGTGCTCACGCGCCGGCGCGTGGGGGCGCGTGGGTCAGATTTGCCGGAATATCGCCGGCGCGTGAGGGCGCGTGAGGGGGTGTTTTCCGATGGGGTTTACTGGGGTTTGGTCGCCGGAGCCTTGGGAATCCTGTGGTGGTGTTGGTTTTTGCACAACACTGATAATTAGTGACTTTGACGCAATTAGTCACTTAGGTCACCGGAAAATTGCACGGTGACTGAGTTGTTTCTTCCCGGATATCGTTGGAATGACGCACAACGATAAATTTCTCACGGTTGCTCTGATACCATGTGAGAAAGCACGGGAGAAAATATATTATTGATGTATATTCATATGTTACAATGAGCCCTATATATATACACACATAACATGTCCTACTCCTAATATATATTGGATTAGGGTTATTTATTTACTCCTATTTACATGACTATTCTAACAATCTTGATTCTCTTCTTTATATGAGGGCTCTTAAATCTAAAAGAGTCACCTGGTCCAGATAAACACATCGAGCATAGTGGATTGACCTGAATGGGAGCAAGATGTCTGCTATGGATCCTACAACTGAAGGAAGAGGATTGTTGTTCCAGTAGCTCTCTTTATGGAAAAAGAGGAGTTCTTTGATGATAGAGCAATGTCTACAAATGATGCTAATGAAACAGCAACTTTTAGTAAAAAGGACGGCAAGCAGAAGAACTTTGTGAACTTTATAGCAGATATAAACAAGTGAAGCATATCGTTCTTCTAAGAAAGTAAAACAGTGAAAGACACGGCAGTGTTTCCAGCACAAATGACATTACATTGGACCAAGAAATGTCATCATGCTCCTTAGGCCAAAGTAACGGGAGGCAGCACCTGCTAAGCCCTGTCAAAACCAATAAACAATGATGTCAGCATGTATTTAGAACTCGACAAAAATTGTAGTTTTTGAAGCAGAGCCTGAAAGAGAATTACTAACCTAATAATTCATTACTGATACGGTCTTTCTAAGTCTACATTTTTCCTTTCCATTTATCTTGTGTTATTTGGTAACTTAACCTAATAATTCAGCAGTTATGGGCTTTCAGGATCAACTATCTTCAACCAAAATGCACAGAAAGTGGGGAGAATCTTAAGGAAATTAAGGAGTATGCTGCGTTATTCAGCGAATAAGATAAACTGATGACCGCTCTTCCTATAGAGGTCTCTGCAGGACTTTATGTCAGTAAAACAACTATAGGCAGTAATCTTCTGTAGTGAAGCAAAATGGGCAACCCTCAAACCAATGTATATTCATAGGATTCTTAGACCTTTTTTGCCGCCAGCATGGCCAATCTGGACTCCAGGTTAAGAGCCGCCACTTCTCCACCCTAAAACAAACAAGAGCCATGTGAAGCCAAGAAAATCATGTGAGAGAATCACAAATCAACTATTATAACTTATCCAGTAAGATACAACAATGCAGGAAGACTTTATTAATATTTGTCTTTGGTATGCCAAAGCATCACTATTTCTGAAGAACCATCTCTTTCTTATGTTTCTTTCCCTCCAAGAGATTTCTGTTAAACCATTTGGTTGCTACATATGAATAGGAATTTCTGGAAAGTCAACTTTTTGAACCTTAAACTTTTACAGCATCTCATAACCGGAAATTTTTGAGAAATATGATTAGGAAAATTCATTGTAAGGGATCCTCCAAATTAAGTCGTGCAAAATTTGCAGGATTCATTTAGGAAACTGATTTAATCTTGATCTTAAATTTCCTTTTTCTTTTCAAGCAAATGCATGCAACAAAATGATATTCCATTTATTTTACTTTTACTTGCTACAACTTTCTCAAAAGCACATTCCTATTCTTAACATTCAACAAAGCCTATCTTTTAGCAGATGTATCCAAAACAGCTCTAGATTACACTGCGTTTGTTGTTTCTGTTTCTGTTTATCCAAAACAGCTCTCGATGTACCAACACAATGCCGAGACTACATAACTTTTCCATGAGTTCATATTCGAGCGAAATCCTTAAGAAGAAAAGTGGATTAACAAGACGCTAACCCAGAAGAAAAGTGGATTAAAAAGACACTAAAACCCAGACCAAATAATTTCCTCTAAAATAAATGGTTAATCATTCTTCTTTTTCATAGTCATTAATGATTAGCCAATTTTAAGACCATAATTCACAGGTGAAAGAAATATAGATCCAGATGTCAGAGCACATTGCGGGAACAGTAAAGAGACCCATTTAAAGTGTCTAACATATGCTACAGTCTCCAACAAATAAGCACCTTTTTAAGGACTTCCTTACTTATCTGATAGTTGGCAGCCTCCAATAGCATCTTTCCAGAAAATCTCCTGGCTAACTAGAAAAGCAGTAAACACGGTCTGTGGTAACAAACAGGATGAAAGCACAGGATAAGGAAAGCAAATTGCAGAAATCACAAGGTATCAATATTACCCCGTTGTATATCCTCCCCAATGTTAGCACCCCGCCACCCTAGAACATAAAGATCAGGTTAACTAAAGCATGACCAAAAGGCTCAAAAGATTCACAAGTTTCCAAAACATAAGAATAAACCTTTAATATTACTGAACGGGCTCCTTCAGCCCCAGCTTTTATTGCGGCAACTGCTTGCACCTTCCACTTACTAAGCCCAAACTCTAGATTACCATGCCCATCAGAATCATCTGAGCTCTCTTTCGAGCTGTGGAAGATAGATATTCTTCTCGTAAGGTCCATATAAGAGTCAAGATTTCCAAACAAACAGAAGTAAAGAAGATAAAATCACAGCAGAAGATGAAATGTAGCTAAAACCTCCTATATAGAAACTGGAGAATGGAGAGATGTTTGGTAAATTATTTTGTCAATCAACCTAGCCTTGAAGCGTGCCGAAATCCAATGGAACTGATCGGGAAAGAGAAGTAAATGAGGGGGAGAAAAACAATAAAAACTATCTATTTGTCCCATTTTATAGGACTCATTCCATTTTCTGACAACCTAAATTGTTTACAACATTCCATTAGTAACACCATCTTTTTTAAGTTGAAATCCACTAGTATCATCCTTCTATAGTACTATACAACTTTCACAAGTTCCACAAATTTAAACTCATTTTACTAATCAAATAGGATAATATTTCTCTATTAAACTAATTCTCCAATCACTGTCTTAAAATTTTCTCTCTACTATTTGTATAAGACAAGTGAAATAAACATTGTAAACTTCATAGCTAATAAAATAGTATCATATAAGACAGAGGGAGCATGCGAAATAACTGGCGCAAAAATTCTTAAGGCATCCACAGTAACAAAACAACAAAAATAAGTCCCTCTCCTCAACCACACCATCTGTTCTCACAGAATCAAAAGGAAAGGGGCTTACCTTGAGTACTCCTGCAGCAGATGAAGAAAAATCTCTGCCTCCAGGTCCTCTGTAGACAATTTGGCTGAACACCTTATACTTAATTTTTCCCTGACACCAAGCAATACCTCCCTATATGATGGTCTCCTACCCCTAGATTGAATTACAAACAACATTAATCACTGCCACGCTGAAACAAAGTAAGAACTAAACTAAAAGAATCGCGCTGTAGGTCAGGAAATGCCAAAACACTGTATATCAAACTAGAGCTGCATCGGGTGATGAACACCAGTTATATCAGTTTCATTTTCAAAAAAGTCTAATTTCATCAAGCTAGAGATGATCGGGTGACGATTACCAGTTATTTTGGTTTCATTATCAGAAGTCTAACTTTATACAAGTAACCAATAAACATCACTACCATTTGAACTCCACATACTCAACCACCGAATCCTTAAATAATGAGCTATCAATAGCTTGAGTTGCGATTATTCATACTTCCGAGGGGCATCCATGTAATTTGCATGTAGAACATTAATGTTATCACAACGAAACAAGTTTGAACAATGAAGATAACATGCATCTGATTTTTCAGAACACAATTCAATTGTCTATCCACCCGTCATAGCAACAAAGTACCCTCCACCAAACCCCATGAGAGAGAGTCATACTTTATTTATGCCCAATTTTACAACCAAACACTATATTGATACTGTAATAATGTGCAGCTGAGTGATCTATAGTTTAGCATATTTTTACGATGGTTCAAACTCATTGGAGTAATTGGACTGAAAAGCATTCTAAATTTTGTTGAAAACACAAGTATTCTAAATAAACGTAATAGAGAAACCTCAATGTGGAGCGAGCATCAGCTGCAAGGTATAAAAATCTCGATTCAAGCATCGACAAAAACTCCTCCCTCTCCTCCAGGTCTTCTCCAATCATAATGTAGTCAATTTCATCTCTCTTTGCTACTGACTTCAACAATGGGCTGAAGTAACTGAAACCATAACCGCACAAGAAGGCAAATTTGTTTAGAAATGTCAAAGCACCTTACTTTTTCAGTAAATCACTAAAAGCTTAGGACTAATGGACTATAGTGCTACTGTTTATTACCTTGGACCAAATAAAATTCTTTGAAGTTCGTAGAGTTCGGAATCAGTCGCGAGTTCAAGCACGGACCGAAGATCCGGGTCAACTTCACTGCTGCCGCTCCCTCCTATAGCGCAATTCACAATTCATAGTAAATTAACAGTTAAAAGACGGACCAGCAATGAAGTTTAAGTTGAAATGTCATAAAGCGCTTTAAAAATATACCTTGAGACTGACTTGAAAGCACGGCGCGGGGAGGATTTACCAGTCGCCTTGAGCCGGAGCTTCGACGGAAATATAATTTGATAATCTAAGAAAAAATTTAACAGAGTTCATACGGAGTAATACAACTAAATGGAGGCATAGAGAATGAGGAATGTAAGGTTACCTTGTGACTAGAGGAAGTAGCGAGAAGACAAGTGACAGGGAGAAGAAAGGGAGGTTGACGTAGATAGCCAAGATGAAGTGGCCGCCGGTGGAATTGGTGGCTCAACTGAACGGAGTAGGAAGCTCCGGCAGTACCCATTGTTGCGGACAGAGTCTGCTCTGTTCTGCTCGGTCCAGGGAAAGCAGATGGCCAAAATTGGAATTTGCTTATATTGACGGAAATACCTTATAGTTCTCCAAAATGAATACAAAATTCACGAGATAATGACAAAAATGATCCCTTATTTTTTTAGAGTAGGTTTACGATGGTCCTTCAAATATGAACCTAACATTTTTAGTCCTTTAAATATTCAAAAACTTAGTAATAATTTTGGTCTCCATCCACTTTAAGTTTAACACCTCACAAGCTTCTCACTTAACTTTCGTCTTTGGATGCCTCACGTGAGGTGTTAAAATAAACTCCAATTCTTTTGTAGAAGCATTAATGTCTCTCTATTTTACAAGTGCCTATGGTTTGTGCTTCTTGCAATTTTTTAGGCACGTGACGAGAGTCCAGTTAAAAAACTAACGTGTTTAGAATTTTGATTAAAAGTGCACCACCTTGTTAAAGAAAGAGGACTACTAGTGCAACATGTGAAAGAATATGTGTTATTTTGTTGAGATATTTTCAGAAACCACTATGTTTTAATGATTATTAGCTTGCTATAGTTATTATTTACTAAATTACTTTCTATAGCTATGTTTTAACTTGTTATAGAGTGTATTCAATGTATTTAAGCTAATGTATTCATGAATACAATACAATAGGAAAAGTCGGCGGAAAAAAGGGAATTACAGCTAATGTATAGACTGTATTCATATGTATTCGCGAGTTGTATTCGTGAATATAGTAACGGAATTTACGGGGGAAAAAATCTCTTCAGGTATTTAAAAACGGTAAGTGAATCAATTAACGCGATAGACTCCTAATATAACTCAACAAACTCAATTATAACACACAAAATTTGTATTTTCAGTTATAGAAAATATTCTCAACCAAAAAACATCCCAAAAACAGAGCAATCTTCAGAGATTCAATCCATCATTTCTTTTTTTAGTGGTATCTTTACTAAAATATTTTTTAGCGGTATCTTTACAAATAGATTTATATATTGAAATTATATAATTACATCGAATACAGTTAAATACATAAAAATACATTGAATACATGAAGTATAGCAGGTCATCTATAGTGCAAAAACATATGAATACACACTGCAGATACATTTGAATACATATATACATCTGAATACATAAATTATATTAATTAAAAAAAAACATATGAATACATTCTACAATATATTGAATACATACTGCTGAATATATACTGCTGGACAGAACAGTGAAACATTGAAATTATATAATTACATTGAATACAGTTAAATACAGTGAATATATTGAAAAAGTAAAAAAAACTAAAGACAATGAATACAATGAAATACATGAAATACAGCGAGATACATTGAAATATATGGGGAACAAAAGGTAACAGACTCTTCAAGTTCCTCAGCCCCAAACTCTGTCCCCAATCCACCGATATCCAGGCCGCCGCGATGTGGGCCGTGTCGACGCCCCCTTTTTCTCGCGAAATCGGGTTTACGATATTTGAGAAGACAACTCTTTTCCCGTGTGGGAATTGGGTTTTTGGAATTGAAGAGTCGCCACCTAATGATTAAGTGCATTAGGACACTGAGGGTTTTGAGTTTGAAAATCAGAGTTCGGGTAAGGGCTAGAAATTATCTCGAGGGGAAGGTGTTAGGCACCCCTCAAGATCCACTAGTGTGGTTCCCGGCCATGCTATGTTGTGACTTTAATGCAAATAAGTACACAAATAACTTCACACTTAAGGGTTACAAATAGATACGTAACAAGCATGTTGGAATCAAGGTTTAGATGATCTACAATTTGTTTGAGGGAAGGTCTAAATGCAGAAAATTAATCAAGACATTGAAGAAATTTTTAGGGGGGAAAAAAAGAAATAATGCAGTAAAATAAAAAAGGGGTTTTGGGTAGTTGAAAAGACAGAATTTTATTGATATTAAACAAAGTCACATAAGGGAAAGGGGGTCCTAGGTTTGTAAAACACATGGATCATCCACACAACACCAGTAATCAATCGTACGCATAGTGTTATCATGTGATCATCATCTCCATGTCTACCCTTCCCACCCCGTTAAGGTATTTAAGCGCGGAATGGTATCATTACCTACTGCATGCTATTACCCGTCCCACATATCAGTCCTGGAGGCGTTTAGGACTACTAATCCTAAAAGGGAGGGAGCTTGGCTTTTCAGGGGTTTTAAAAGGATAAAATTCTAGGGCGACAAACAAAACACACAAAGCAGTTAATGGGGAAATAAGAATAATTAAAGGCTCAAGTAGGCCTCCTCACTTAAAGAAACGAATTGTTTAGCATGTCTTACACATACTGTTTAGGTCATTAATTAAAATTAGCGTAGGAAGAATTGATTTACCACATATTTCCCAGATAGAGAGTCCAAATTAGTCCTGCTTAGATGTAGTTGTCGAAAACTGACAGTTGATTAATTTTCTAACTATTTCTATGTTAAACAGGGCCTATAGGCATGATATTTATTAATCCAGGGACGGAGGAATAAATGATTGCAAAAAGTCATTAGTTATAAGCTCTACGAGTGTTAAACAAATTGCCACTGATTTTTAAACTTAGGAACGAGTGGTGATTCTGATTAAGTTGATAGTTCCTATAGGCATGCTTTCTAGGTGTAACTGATTTTGAGGAGAGACCCTATAGGCAGGTTATCTCCTATGCCAACTCCTTTAAAGTTTGCTGCTCCGTCGAAGAACATTCTCCAGCCATCATAGCATTCTGCAACGTCTTCTCCTATGAAAGAGACCTCCTCGTCAGGAAAATACGTATTTAGAGGCTCGTATTCTCCACCCACTGGGTTTTCGGCAAGATGATCGGCCAGTGCTTGCCCTTTGATTGCTTTCTGGGTCATGTAGACAATATCGAATTCGCTCAGCAGGATTTGCCCATTTGGCTAGCTTGCCCATGGGCATGGGCTTCTGAAAGATGTACTTTAGCGGATCCATCCTTGATATGAGATAAGTGGTATAGGCACAGAAATAATGCCTCAACCTCTGAGCTACCCAAGTCAGAGCAACACGTGCGCTCTAGCAGGGAATACCGGGCCTCATACAGGGTGAACTTCTTGCTGAGATAGTAGATGGCTTGCTCCTTTCTCCCTATTTCATCATGTTGTCCCAAAACACAGCCGAATGCCCCATCCAGTACTGCAAGGTAGAGCAATAGCGGTCTACCCGGTTCGGGTAGAACCAGGACTGACGGCGTTGACTGGTATTCCTTGATTCTGTCGAAGGCCTTTTGACAATCATTAGTCCATTTAGTGGCGGCGTCCTTTTTCAACATCTTAAAGATTGGTTCACAAATGACAGTGGACTGGGCTATGAACTGGCTGATGTAGTTGAGTCTCCCCAAGAAACTCATAACCTCTTTCTTGTTCTTTGGCGGCGGCAATTCCTGAATGGCCTTAACCCTTGAGGGATCCAGTTCTATTGCTCGGCGACTTACGATGAACCCAAGCAGTTTCCCGGCAGGAACCCCGAATGCACATTTGGCGGGATTCAGTTTCAAGTTGTACCTTCTCAGTTTGTTGAAGAACTTCCTCAGATCTTCCATGTGATTAGTGGCTCTCTTGGATTTGATGATGACGTCGTCTACATACACCTCGATCTCTTTGTGTATCATGTCATGGAAAATAGTAGTCATGGCCCTCATGTAGGTGGCCCCAGCATTCTTCAATCCAAACGGCATCATCTTGTAACAATACATTCCCCACGGCGTGATGAAAGCCGTTTTCTCCACGTCTTCTTCGTCAATCCATATCTGATGATATCCGGCAAAACAATCGACGAATAACTGCAGCTCGTGCTTGGTGCAGTTGTCGATCAGGATGTGTATGTTTGGTAAGGGGAAGTCGTCTTTCGGACTGGCCCGATTGAGGTCCCGGTAGTCGACACAGACTTTGACCTTTCCGTCCTTCTTTGGCACTGGCACAATGTTGGCTAACCATGTTGGGTACTCCACTACCCTGAGGACCTTGGCTTTGACTTGTTTGGTAACTTCTTCCTTGATTTTCAAACTCATATCTAGCTTGAACTTTCTGAGTTTCTGCTTTACTGGCGGACATGTTGGATCTGTTGGCAGTTTGTGAGCTACAATAGATGTACTGAGACCGGTCATATCATCATACGACCAGGCAAATATGTCCTCATATTCTTTTAAGAACTCCGTGTACTCTTCCTTTTCTGACGGTGACAGGTGAACACTGATGCGTGTTTCCTTGACATTGGAGAGATATAATGTTTCTGTTCAAAACTCTGTTTTCACGAGATACCAATGTCTATCGGATTATTTACTCTGGTTAAAGTTTGCATCTCGCCTAGAAACCATGTTCATGAGGGTTAAGTGACTTTCAAAGCCCTGCAGATTTTTTCACATAGATACCATGCCATAGGTTTCTGCACTTTGTAATAATACCATGGCATAAATCGATAATGAGGCTCCTGCAATATTGTATAGATGCATATGCCTATAGGACTTCCTGCACTTGCATATACATTTTGTCCATTAGGCAAGCCTGCTTATAGGTAGTTAAAGATAACTCATTACATATAGATACCTGCCTATAGGATCTCTGCTCAAAATCAGTTACACCTAGAAAGCATGCCTATAGGAATATCAACAACATTAATCACGAATGCACCAACTGCGTATCCTAGTAAACACATATCAGCTGGCCGAATTTGTTTAACGGCTCGTAGTTAGAGCTTGAATAATAATTGACTTTTTGCAATCATTTGGATTTCCTCGTCCTGGATTATATAAATATCATGGCCTATGGGCCTGTTTAAACATAAAAATAGTTAGAAAATTAATCAACAATGTCAAGTTTTTCGACAACTGTACAACTAGCAGGAGGCTAATTTGGACTCCCTATCTGGGAAATGAGTGTGGTATCAATTCTTCCTGGACACGATACCTATACCTTTTCGTAATCTATCGACTTAATCGTAAACGTATGTGTAAGACATGCTAAACAATTCGTGTTCTTTAAGTGAGGAGGGCTGCTTGAGCCTTGTAATTATTCTATTTCCCCATTAACTGTCTTTGTGTGTTTTTGTTTGTCGCCCTTGGC